TGCTAATCTCTAGACTTTGCTTTACACAGTGTGAATTGTCTGAAATAAGTATTTTTAAATCAAAGATCATAAATTGAAACCCGATCTGTGATGACAGTGCAACTTCATCCATTCTCATCACACCCACGTTAACGGTTTTCGGGGAGAAGTTAGCAGTTTGATCATCACTCACCAGGTGTAATTCTGTCTGAACATTTGTTTAGTTTTGGCAATTCTAGGAGCGAAACGTCCCGCCGTTGGGTGGTTTGTGCCTCTGTTCACTTCCCTGCTGCGTTTTCTGGATCCCCTGGCCAAATCACAACTATGTTCCGAGGGCACTGGTGTACATCCTAAGGTAACTGTTTTCTAAAAACGGGGTCTGAGGAGTGGTGACGGCCTTTCACTGATACTAAAGTCGCTGCCTGAATGTAGGGCCTTATTTACCTAATACCTATAGACCTTATAAAAACCCTAATCTAGTACAAGCTTTAGGTGGAACTTGTGCTTTCTTAGAATCTCACTTAACAACCAGTAGTAGTACAAATCTGTGAGAAATAAGCTTCGTTCACTCAAGTGCCTCCCAACCACCTCTTCAGAAAATAGAACAAATGACCTTGTTATAAGGAAGGATTTTTGTATGAGGAATTAAGATGCTAACTTCTCTAATTCTCTTTATTTTGGGGTTGTGCTTGTGCTCTTGGCTCAAGACTCCAGCCCCAGTATGCTTTAGTGATTAGGGGCCTTTCTGTATTACTGGGCCACTGTATTCCACTGATAATCCTGACCATTAAATCCTCAAAAGACTCACAAATCCATCCTGATGGATGCCAGTGAAGTGGCTTTTTTTTTTTTTTTTTTTTTTTTAAAAATGTCCAAAAAACTAGCAAGGAGGTTCAAGGACTGATTTAAAATAGCCTATTTTTCAAGACCTTTTTGAAAGTTGACTTTTACCTCAACATGAATGCAGACGTCAGCCTGTATTCCTAGTAAATTCAGTGTTCACAGATACCAACTAACCTAACAGAAAAGTTAAGCCTTGAAGAAAATGTTGTTTTTTCCCTCCTATAGATTTACTTTTTGTATATCTACTACTTAAGAGAGCACTGCTGCTCTTGAAAGCAGATTTAAAGGCGTGCTTAAAACCTTGTGTTTTCCTCTAAGTATTGCTGTTTACAGACCTTTATCACAAAGGATGGGTGACAGGGTTCTGTGCAGTAGGTGCACTAATAAACCACTCTGTGTCGTGCCAGAATATACAATTATTGGCATACTGCAGGTTTTGACTTTTATTTTTTTTTTAAATCACCAAAGTCCTTGTCAACATGACAACGCCCATATAACAACAGCAGCAAAACTGGTCCTTTGCTGTCTAGCTCCGTTTGATCAGATGTGGGCTAGTGGAGACTCTAATGAATTAGGCTTTCAAAGAGTTTTACTGGTATAAACTGGTTTAGATACGGTGTTCAGATAAAACTGCATTTGTAAAGACCCTCAGGAAGGATCCAGCTTTAATATTTATTTATTGGCAACGACACCCAGTGTTCGAATGCTGATTCTGTCTGAATGTTTTACATCTACGTACGAGCTTGTCCACTAGCGTAAAGTTATTGTGACAAGCTGAAGGTATAATGTCATGGCTTAATACACTGAACTAAATTAAAACCCCATCAAAGCTTATAAAGTAGACTTCAGAGTGATTTAATTCAATGAGGAAAATAACCCACCACATTAAAAAAGCCGCTTTACATCTATCACATCTAAAGTATCCTAAAGTCATCATGCCACATAAAATAGTATTTGAAGCAAACTAGGTAATTAAATAAAATAGTAATATCAAAAGGAGTTCTGCTTTGTGAAAGATCTGAATAGTAGGATTTTATCCCCTGAAGCACAAAAGACTGGACGACCTTGTAAAAGGCCTTTCTCCCTTTGTAGCTCTTTCCCCCACATGCATAGAACTTTAACTTGGAATTAAGGTCACCAGGTTCTGTATCTCAGTAATGAGTACTTATTATAAAAACAAAAAATTCAGGCATCACTCAACAACCTGTCTGTTTTCCCTTGGAGTCTCCCCCAGCCATCCTGGGGTGGGGATGTGGAACTGTAAAAGTCTGATGTTGGGGTAGGAAGAAAGGAGTTGAGCGAGGTTGTCCTTGCTGTAAATCAGTTAGGGGAAAAATAAGGGTGTTTTTTTTGAAGGAGTTTGGTAACTGGAATGTTTTGGGTTTATGTGTCTTTGATAATGTGCACATCAAAAAAGCTGTGTAGCTGGAACCCACACTGCTCCTTCAGGATGTTTCTCCTTGGTCATCTTTAATGGTGAAAAACAGGTTTAAGTGTTAGTTACAAGTTTATGTTTGGTGCCTAGGAAATAGAGGGGGAAAATATCAGAAATTCAAACTTACTCATGTATGTTATGCAAAGTATATTTTAAGTACTACCCGTAATTGTTCTCCCTTTATTTCAGATTCCTCAGTTTCTGGAAGTACTTTGGTTTCATGTTTATTTTAGATTTCTACTTACTTCCCCAGCAACAGAGGTTAATTTGGCTTAGATTTTTGTGGCCAGAAGATGAGTTTTCAGACAGTCTGAGCAAACAATACCAGAACAGTCTTGCCCCCTGTCCCCCTCAGTACTGGCCTACCAGGGAGACAGAGACTGTTAAATCACCTGAATCCTCATGTTTTGCCCTTGTTCTTTAAACACTTCCCTACCCTGTTTCATTGAGGCAAAACTAACACCTTCCAACCCCTTTTCTAGAAGTCCGAAAGCTGTCATGGCTCACGTCAAAAAGAATGAGAAAGCAAATAGGGAGCTTGCTTTTAAAACTTAATACTGTGTATCACGTAGAGGAGCCTCCAGAGAAAAAAAAAATTACAGAGTTGGGGCCTATATTCTGCAGTTTTAGAACTGCTGCTACAACTGTTCAAACTACAGGAAGAACTGAATATAACGATGGAAGTTGTACAGACTCAGCATAATCTGCATTTTTTTGCACAAATAATTAAAAGCATTTAAAAAAAACCAAAAACGCTCTTGTATTCCGGAGAGGGCTACGGTTCAAAGCCTTTCCAATCTGCAAAATGTTTCTGATCTGAGATTATATTCAAAGGTACCTTTCTCTCCTTGGATGTTTTCAAGTTATAGCTTCTTTCCATTTTTAATACCAGCAGGTTTATTTCATTGGTTGGAGATGAATTTTTAAATTTATACAAACACAACAGGAATATCAAAAATACAAGACCAAGGATGAGGATAGAAATGATACCTGGAGTTGTATAGGAACAGTTCTTTCTACCTTTGTATGACTGAACTAAATTCTAGGTACTTGCCAGTTTGTTGTGTGTTTTATTTTTTTTTTTTCTTCTGTCTTCAACCACAGAGCAGCACAGTGTTTATCTCGATTTTCGGTTGTCTGACAGGTTCTCAAATTGAAGTGTTAGTCATGGACTCCTGTCAGAAACTAGAGATTGGAATCAGTTTATATAGATACATGAAGGTAATTAAATGGTTTATTAAAATGGCATTTAAAATGCCAGCTTAATTTTTATTGCTGCTTTCTCCCTCCCAATTTTCTTTTTTTTTTTTTTCCTTATTTAAAGCCCCTAAACTTTGATTTGTTACCTCAGTACCAGAAGACCAGTGCAGAACACGCAGATTACTTTAATTAGAGAGCCTAGATTAAGAGGAAGCAATATAAACCGATGCTAAACCTTTCCTGACCGACCTGGGGAGTTCGCAGGCGGCTCAAGCAACAGCCGTAGCCAAGGTTCGGGATCGCTGGGGCCCCGCTGGGCTCGGGGGGGGCCTCATCCCTCAGAGGGCGCTGAGGAGACCCAGACCTGAGCCCGCGAGGCGGGGAACGCTCGTCAGGCCGCGGGACAGGGGCTGAGCCCCGACGGCGGGCTGGAGGGTGCAGGAGGGGGTCACGGCGGGAGCGGCGCCGCCATTTGAAATCAAACCGCGTCCCCGCTTCCGATTGGCCGCGCCGCGCGATCACGTGACGTACTTCCCGCCAATCGTGGGCTCCCGCGCGCCTTTTCGAAAAAAAATTTCCCGGT